AATGATTTTGATTATTGTGATTATAAATGTGGTGGTGATGAGTGTGGTGGATAACAGTGATGATGGATGATGTGATGATGATGATAATAATAATAAATAATAATAATAATAAATAATAATAATAATAATAATAATAATAATAATAATAATAACAATAATAACAATAATAATAGCAATAATAATAACAATAATAACAACAATAATAATAGCAACAATAATAACAATACTAACAATAGTGACGATGATAATAAGGGTACCAATAATAATCATCTCGTTCACTCACATCCTTCCCGCGGAATTTCCTGAAGAGGTCGATGAAGGAGAACGGCAGCGCGATGTTGAGCGGGTTCTCCCTGAAGGGCGACGCGTTCCTCTTGCGTGACTCGAAGGCGATCATCAGGTCCACGAAGGCCGCGGGGCGCTGCCGGCGGAAGGCGCTGAGGAAGTCGCTGCCGAAGAGGGTCTCCAGCAGGCGCTCGAACTCCACGTCCACGCCTACGGTAGGAGGGGGGAGGGAGAAGGGAAGGGGGTAGGGGGAAGGGGGAAGAACGAAGGGGGAAGGGGGAAGTGGGAAGGGGGGGAGGAAGAGGGGGGGGGGAGATGAAGTGAGATTTTGCTGGGGTCTTTTTTTTACGCTGATTCTGTGCTTTTATCTGTAACTCTATATTTATCTCTATGTCTAACTCTAACTTAATCTTCAACTTTAACTTTGCTTCTATCTCTATTCCTCGATCCGTATTTACTTTAGCTCTTCCTGCCCTTATCTCTAAATCATGCACTGGCTTTACCTTTTTTCTTGCTCTGCCTCATCTATACCTCTAGCTCTGCCAACGAGATTCAAATTGAACTTTACCTCAGACAATTATATGGTGTTACTTTACACAACTACAACGAATGAACTTCACCTGAGAGAACATGAGTCAAAGTGAGACTCACCCGAGAGACATCAACTCAGAATGAACCTCCTCCGAGACATTTGGATTGAAAACGAACCTCAGTGAAACAAATAAACTTAACTGACACAAACACAGTAATGTGTACACAAAGATGAAAGGAAAACTTCCCTTTATTACTGTGGCAGTTTTCCTTTCAAATAAACTTAAAACTAAACCTAACTTCAAATCACACGACTCAAAAGTGAGCCTCCTCGGAGTCGACTGTGACCATAGCCGCCGAGGAGAACCCTTCTTACGCGCAAGAGGCTTACCTGTGGATCCGTAAGGCCCGCCACTAGCCTTGTGCAGTTCCTTGAGGTGACCCGTGAGCCTGTCGGTCATCTGATGCACCGTGATGTCCACTGTCCCGCCGCCGCAGTCGACCACAGCGTACACCGTGTCTGTAAGGAAGGTAGGGGGTTACTGTGGAGGAATATGTTTGTTCTGAGGGGATGGGGGAGGCAGAGGGGGTTTGTGTAGAGGGAAAGGGCGGGAGTGGGGGGGGAGGGGGCGATGAGGGGTGTGTGATGAGTATGAGTAAGCGTATACAACCACACACTAACAATTCTTTTTATACCTAGTCGAAAATGACAGCTAATACAATCAAACAATACAGGTTTTCAACAAATAATACAAACTTCTTCATCTTTATTTCTCTGTTTTAATTGTATAAACTGTCCCGCATTAAACTCCTAATAATCTACACAATAAATGACCTTAACTGTTGTGAAAATATACCATTATTCTCATTCTCAGGAACACAAAACACAATACTTTCCAGTTAACAAAATGCAATGGCTTCAGAGATGTTAAACGCACCTCTAAATCCCACTGCCTATTACATATGCATCTTTATCCTATGACAAAATTAGACAAAACTTTCAAGTATGCAGATGCTTTTTTGGAATAAAAGGATATAGTGTGCCGAAAGGTTTACAGGAAGGAACGGGGAAAAGTGATTATGAAAACAATAACAGTACCTATCACCTAAATAGGTTAAAGGATGATGATGAATGTTTATATCACGTGTATACATGCATACATACCCATATATATATATATATATATATATATATATATATATATATATATATATATATATATATATATATATATATATATATATATATATATATATATATGTATATATATATATATATATATATATATATATATATATATATATATATATATATATATATATATATATAATAAATATATATATATATAATAAATATATATATATATAATAAATATATATATATATAATAAATATATATATATATAATAAATATATATATATATAATATATATATATATAATATATATATATATAATAAATATATATATATATATATTATATATATATATATATATTATATATATATATATTATATATATATATATCTATATATATATATATATATATATATTATATATATATATATTATATATATATATATATATTATATATATATATATTATGTTGTGATTGTTTGGTTGTGTGTGTGTGTGTGTGTGGTGTGGTTGTGTGTGTACCCCCCATACACAAACGGTGTGTATGA